ACACACACACACACTCCACACACACACACACACCACACACACACACACACACACACACACACACACACCCACACACACACACACACACACACACACACACCCACACCCCTACATATCTATCAGGCCCAAAGGAAATACCTTATATTCTAGAGAGTTCTCCTGAGCTATGTTCGTTACCCATTCCTACCTTGCATTTGATTCTTATGTTTTATGTATTTATAGTAATGATGTAATCAGTCTGCCATTGTGGTGCTCACTTTATGTATCTGGTCTGTTAGCCATAAAACACCTAAAAGCTAGCCCAGTATTTTGAAAATTTAAAAGAAAATTGTCAATGATTAAAAATAAATTTAAACCATAATGAGCACACATATATTTACATGATAGGTATATTTCTGTCTGAGAAATTTCCTTAGATTATCACTTCTCATTTGAAATAAGTTATTACACATCTAATATGAAAAAGAAAGTTCTTATAGGCATTACTTACCCTTCTTGTTTGTTAGAATGTTTGATACAATATTAGTTCTACAACCTACTAATAGACTCACCTCTCTCTACATCTCTGTCTCTGTATTTGACTTCTCTCTCTCTCTCTCTCTCTCTCTCTCTCTCTCTCTCTCTCTCTCTCTCTTTCTCTCTCCTTTCTCTCTCGTATGAATATATGTTTGGGTGTACATACATGTATATGCAGCCATGTATGGAGGTCAGAGGTCAACATCGAAGTGTCTTTCTCTATGACTCTCTACCTTATTTTTTGAGACAGGGTCTCTCATCAAACACAGCGTTCACTGACTGGCTAAGGTAGTTTGCCAACGAACTCTGGGAATCTACCTTTCTCCTCTTCCCAACCACTAGAATTGCAGTCATGTGTTCAAATTTCCATAAAGGTTCTGGGGATCAAAACTCGTGTCCTCATGATTGTACAACAGTACATGATTTACCTCAGTGTTTGAGCCATATTGCCAGCCCATCACCACTCACTTAAACAGTTACCATATTAGGAAAGCTCCTAAGAAAAGTAGCGCTCCAGTAACTTGTAGGATAAACTAGTGAGAAATTGTTATTTTTCCAAGCACTATTTAAACTGGGGCTGTTTTTACAAAAGAAAAGCAAATGTCATTGTGACGATAGTGAACTTCCATGGTTAGACAGATGGAATCAAGGCCATGTGTTGAGCCCATTCTGGTCTGGTGGATTCTTTGTCCCAGGACTGATCCACCCTGAGTGAGTAGCCCTGCTAAAGGAGGCTGCTTGGATGTGTGTCACTCTACTTCTGGTCAATAAATCCCTACTGTTAGAATAAAATGATTTGGAAAATAAAGATAAGTACCCTAACAATGATACCCAATTCATCATTGCTGCCGGCCCTTGTGAATTCAATGTGGAATGTTGGAAATGGAATGTTTGCTTTCTCTCTAAATTTCATGTTAAAATGCTAAGCATCAATTCAATGGCATTTGGAATAGGTTCTTTTGAAGGTAACTGGGTTAGAGAAAGTTGAAGTGGAAACCTAAGGGTTCTTTGGAAAGTTGGTTGGATGGTGTTTTGCTGGGGCAAATACATGAAGGAGTGTTTAGCTGAAGCAAACATAGTGAGAGGATGTTCAACTAAAGCAAGCACATGAAAGGACGTGTGATGAAGGATTCTTTGCTAAGAACACCCATATTAGTCCACCTTACACTGTGTAGTTGAACTGCATGTGTTGAGACTCCATAGAGAGAAACTCACCAAACAAACTTCTGGTAGTGTGCTGTAGCTTTTTTGTCACTTCTGCAAACACAGGCTAATTGGCAGAGAGATGTCAGCCGAGGCAAGACCTGTGCTCGGGCAAGACACGAGGACATACAATGTTTGGAGGGTATAACTAGGACTCTACAGAGTGACAGAGACAATGCTTGGCTTGCTGGTACAGCTAGCTGTGCAATGCTTATGTGTCTCAAGTCTACACTGATCTTTGCTTCCTTAAGAGAGGCACAGCCAAGAATTTCTCTTCTTGTCCCTCCCAATGACTCAAACTGAAGCTGAGGCCTGGCTGTCTCTGCTAGGTCATGTCACTGCTGTTGCTAGCCCGACTCTACTTAACTGGACTGGTGTATCTGTGAAGTGTTTGTGAGTGGATCGAGCTGCTGCTATTAACCTGTGAACTGAACTGTTGATTTCCAGACAACATAGATGGGAGTTGTCCCAAAGAACATTTGTAAACAGGCCCACTTCCGTATCCTTTCTTTTCCACTCTCTCTGGTGGGTGGTGAGCTAAAAGGGAGGTTAAAGCATTTAAGAGCCATCAATAAAAATAGGTTTTGAAAAAAATTAAAGTTACAGCAGGTCATGAGCATAGAGCCTTGGAGCGTATAAATGCCCTTCTTAGAAAAAGGTCTCTGGCCACCAAGATGGTCAGCTAGTCTGTAGCAACCATTCCATTCGCTGTGTTTCCAGTTCCGGTTCGCTCGTCTCTGGAGCTGCTAGTTCCTTTATAGCCATAACCATCTGGTTGTTGGCGGACCTAGCTTCCAGAAACCCAGTAAATCAAAGACTCTAGATGCTTAAAGTTAACCAACTAGATTTATATATCAGCAAATACTCAACACACAAGATGGCCACACAATTAGAATTGCTATCCCAATTATCTAACCTCGATATGAATAACTACTTTTGATTGCTAGAGATACAAGCGTATACATCTGCAGTCATCTCCCCTCTCTCCTGTTCCTCCTCTTCTCTCCCTGTGTTTTTTTTTTCTCCTCCTAACTCCTAGCTCCGCCTTCCTCTTCCCTATCCAATGACAGGGCTCTGCTGAAAATACACTGGGCAGGACATTTCTGTCACATCCTCTGACCTCCATACTCATGCTGTGACATGCATATGTCCATACACATACATAAATAACAACCAAATAATTTTAAAATATATTTAAATTTTTCTCTCTCCATGGCCACATACCAAGAAAATTCATGCATGGACATAATCAGAAAAAAAGTGATTCTGCTGGCACCTGATTTTGAAATTCCAGCCTCTAGATCACTGAGAAAATGAGAGCTGTTGAAGTCACTCAGTGTGTAGTGTTCTGTTATAACAACCTAAATTGGGATGTTAGTTAAAACTGGCCATCCCTTACTCACACTGGTTCCACTTGGATAAAACTGCTTGCTGCTGTAAAAGTGACATGCATTCCAGGAAAAATCATACTCTGAATTTATGTCTTTTTCTAGTGCTGTGTCTTAGGCTACTCTCCAGAGATGCTGGGTAATGGCAGCAAGTCACAGCAAGCCAGTCAGTGGACAGTCAGGATGTAAACCAATTCCCTACACTGCTCAGCTGTGCCACTCTATGAGCTAGCCAAAGGAAGAGCACTTTAAACTTGAGATACTTTCAAATGAAAGGGGGATTGTTAAGAAATAATCCCATTCATCTGTCTATCTGTCTTTCTATCATCTTTCTATCTATCGTCTATTCTGTCATATCTCTCTCTCTCTCTCTCTCTCTCTCTCTCTCTCTCTCTCTCGTGTGTGTGTGTGTGTGTGTGTGTGTGTGTGTGTTGTTTTCCTGTCTCCACCAACTACCTAAAGGGCCATGCTTTTCTTTCTTTTTTTTTTTTTTACATTTTTTTAAGTACTCATTTATCACGGCCCAGCCACCTACCACAGAATCAGGACCTCCTGCTGCCAGGACCCTCAGTCTCTCAATAGCAACAATTCTTTGTAGAATCAGATTCAAAGTAAGAATTCTTCACTCACTGGGGAGCCAGGCAAGCCTTAGTTGAGCATCTTCTGGGGAAACCAGTAAGGTTCTTGGTGAGCAGATCTATTCCCTAGAAGAAATAGAGACATTTAGCTTCAGATGTCCATATGTGAGAAACAGTGACTGGTAACTCTAGCTATCTCTCCACAGCACAGTTCCAGGGCAAATCAATAATTCTAGTGGTGCTTTTGTTAGAACGGGTATGTACTCACTGGAAAGAAATATAAGTAAATCAAGAGTAAGGCTATAGGCAGAATGAATACTGTAATAAATAGACCTTTAATCTTCTCTCTAATTACAGTACTCTTCAATGGTGGCATCCCTTGCTCATTTGCATTTTGCTATAGATAAAATATAAAATATGTCCAGAGTTGGCTCCTGGGAAATTGAACTCTTCTTACTTGACCTGAAGCAAATGGAATCTATTCCTTAATTCCAGTTTTACAGCCTTTGTTTTACAAGCCTTTAACAAAAAACAAAATCAAAAATCACTCAAAAGTAGAAGATTTTGTTCTTTTTATCTTGTAAATAAATTTTTAAAAATTCTTTGAGGTTTTTTTATATAGATTCATGCTCATGTTGGATAAGTTAACTACAGAGTTTACATTTTTACAAAATACAAGCTATCTATTCTTTAAGAAGCACGGCTACTACTGAGATTTCAAGCAATGGACAATAATAGCACTAGCTCTTATATAAGAGCAAACGCTCCCTCTTGAAATCTGAATGAGCAGCTCCTATCAAGTGAAATGTTTTCCCAACCTGATCTGGCCTGAATTCAGCTACTTGGTTATATAAATGCTTTTTTGTATTTTCTGTTTGAAAGCCAGTGTTTATCTACCTACTTGACCTAAAACTCTACACTTTACTCCATGTAAAATCACAATAGAAAAAGTGTGGCACAACGACTTGTTCTCTTTGATTACCTCGGCCAGTATATCACATTGACATAGTAAATAAATAATGTGACAACGGAAAGTAAAGCTTAGTTATCTAAAATGGAATGAATTCAACCTTAATATTTATGTTCATAAGCTGGATTCAAAATCATATTGACTGACTCTCATGGTTGTAATATGAAATACATTTTCATTTTGTAAACAAGGCAGGAAGACAGTTTTGTAGCTTCTGTTCAGGCCATAGTGACCCAATTACCTGGTCAAAGGGCTGCGTGGATGCAAGAGACAGGGTGAGTTAAACTTTAACTTCTGGGAATGGTAAACCAAACCTACAGCCACTGAACCTTTGGAGTTTGATACAGTGATTAGAATATAACCAAAGCGGCATGCTGGATTCGCCATAATCAAGGAACCTTTTCCGGGTGGGGAATCTCAGAAATTACGCAGGTATGGCCCATGCTTTTTTGTATTTTCTGTTTCAATTCTGGGTTGTTGTGTCTGTTAGATTGTATGAAAACAACTTGTGTTCTTTACTATCCCTGAGCCTAATCCAGAGAATTATCATTTGAGTCTTACACTAATTAATGAAAAAGCAAAACAATGTATTGGACTGATCCTGTCTTCACAAACAGGGATAAATTCCATGATATACTTCTTGATTGGGTGGGTATGCTTCCAAAACTTGTGGAACAGTGGAGTTCCACTGTGGAACTCACATGCTGCAAAACTAACCTCCAGCTAGCTATCAGGGAGAGCTGTGCTTCACTGTCTGTCCTGATCTCCAGGACCTGGAAACAGAAATGTGATTAACAAAAGACATAGTTTCTCATCTCCAACAGCCTTCTGAGTTCTGTCTGTCAGTCCTGATTCCTCTTATACTTTAGACCCCACCTACCTATTCAATTAACTTCTATGTGCTACCATCCTAGGGAAAAAAAAAGAATCAGAATGAATTCTTGCTATTTCTTCTGCTATTAGCCTGCTAACTGAAAATAATATCCTAAGCTAATTGTTTTTTATTCTAGCAAGGAAAGAAAACATTATGGGAAAAGTGTTTGGTTTTGAGTGTGTTAAATCTCAACCCCGAGGTGTCTATTTATTAGATGGCTTTCACAGACTAAGCAAACAACACAGCACATGTATTTTCGCAGTATCATGTTTCTCACCCCTAAAAGATAGTTAAGAACCAAAATACAGTGGTTCTAAAGTGAGAAATAGATCAGGGCATTTTCTATCCTATCAGAAATCTCAATTCTGTGCCTGAAGAGCCAGCGTTGCTTCACTATCAGCAAAGTAAGCCACCGAGGGGCCCCGTAAAACACATCTCTGTACTAGTGCAAGTTAGAGATGGAAGTCTCCAAGGGAACAAACACTGAGAAATCATTTGCGCATCCTAGGAGATTAGTGTTTTATAAGCCAAACATTAGTAAATTTCCACTCGAGTTGTAATTTAGGAGAATCAAAATGAGTTGGTCTAGCTTGAAACATAAAGTGCTAAGCAGCGTGCACTGTCAGGGAACGGAATCTGGAGATAAAAGTGAAGCCACTTACTTGTCCAAACAATTAGGGATTCCCCTGCTGATACACAGAAGTAGACATGTCTTGTTTATTTTTGTTTGTTTTATGGAATAATAGTGGTACTTCTCACCTTAAAAGACACATCTTGCTGTTCCAATTTACTATGCATTAAATATAGGGGAAAGATAAAATACAGTTGGCTAGAAACAGGTTGTCTTAAGTGACACTCACATAACATAGTAATGGATCCAAAATCATGGGTAGTCATTTTTAACTAGACAAGTTAATTTGTGATGTTTCAATATCAACATTACCTCCACTGCACTTGAGGAGTATAGGGAGTCACGAATGTGTCTCCAACAGTCAATGAAATGAGCTGAGTAAGTCAACAGAAAGCAGCTCTTCTTACCATTTGGGTGCTCTTCAGTATAACGGCAATAGTTGTTAAGTATTAGATTATCAAGCACATTTCTAGGCACATGCTAAGTTTAATCTCATGTTATTCTTAGAACACCCATATGAGGCCAATTCTATCACTATACTGTTTCTATACTACTATATATCGTACTGTTATTAGATTGAGGTGCAGACAAATTATTTAACAGGCTTGATGTTAAAGGCAAGTGACAGAGCTGGGTGATGCAGTAGGTGGTCTACTTGCAGAGCACATGGGTGCTCTGTATTCAGTCACTAGGATTTACTATGTGTACATGGGTGTTTATCATTGGGAGTAGCCAAAAGAACAGGCAATACAGTTTCCTAACCTCTTCTTCTTCCAGGAACATTTGTCTATCAGTATCTCTCCAAATCTGTACTAGTTAGGCTACAGGCTAAGAGTAAAATACTTTTATAGACCATACCTATTATTTGCAATAACCAGATCAACTGAAATCACCACATTTGGATTGATCTCAATCAAACCTTCCAAGAAATCACATACATCCATAATCCTCCACCAAACAAAGCCATGCCCAGATTAAAGGCTTTAAACTTAATCACAGCAAGAGTACCAGACACTTCTACAGACAGACTCAGGCTGGAATACTTACTCCAAACCTTCCTGGTCTGAGAAGCTGTGCACATTATTTGAGTTCCCGAGATCTCAGATTCCTCAGATGTGAAATGAGATCTACCTGCAGGATGCTAGAGCACTGGTGCTTAGGAGCCAGTTGAGCCTTTCTACCACCTTCCCACTAATAACAGATTTTCTTCTCCAGAAAAAACTCAAATTGTCCAAACTTACCACCCACTAGCTTTCTCAAAACAACTCCATTAAAATAGAAAACTATATAAATAAAGAAACTCATTATTTACAAAAGCCATTGCACTTCTTTGGAACCTGTACGCACACACACACACACACACACACAACTACAGGATGATTTTTATTTTAGAGCCTATTTCTCAAAACTACTATTAAAAATTCAACATGTCTGTGTTGACATCCATAGTTTCACACTCTGACATTCTGACACTGTATATGTTAACTTTATTACACAGGCAGATGGTTTAAAACCTATTTCAGTATCTAAAACTCTGGTATCCCTTAGGATGCTGGGTAATATTTTGGGTACTATTGCCCAATGGCTTGCATTACCACATGCGTCTGTACATGACTCAGAAAGTTCAAACAAGACATTATTGATCGACAGAGAATAAACATTGCTTTATCTTATCCATAGACACAGTAACTAGGTTTCTCTCAAGTGCAACTCCAACAGTCCAAACTCCCCTAGGAAAGGTAGTTGGAAGAGATGCCTCACTCCTGCAGTGACCTTGCATATTCAACATCTAAAACCCATCTGTTCCTTAGCTTAAAACTGCAGATCTAGTCAGTTATCATTAACAAATATTTACTGCCAAATGGATCAGGAAAGTTGATTTATTACTTTAAGCCATCAACCCTATTCCAACCAGACTATAAGCTCTTAAGATTATTTAGAATTTTATTTTTCTAATTGTGTCATTTTCTCTCTTCCCTTTCCTCCGCCCAACCCTTTCCAAGTTCTTCCCACTGCTCTTTTTCAAATACATGACCTCTAAATCTTTAATTGTGTGTGTGTGTGTGTGTGTGTGTGTGTGTGTAGCATGGGAAGATTAGATAGATAGATAGATAGATAGATAGATAGATAGATAGATAGATAGA